CTTTCTCCTATATCAATATCACCAAATTTAAAAAAAAAGACCTTAAGAATCAAATATAATAATGGTAACGATTAATACAATTCAAACCTGTTGACATATTGTAATACTTTCTCCAAACTACCTAGTACCTATTTCCTCACTCTAAACTTCCTAAGTGGTTGGTGCCTTAAGAACAATGTTAGGGGCTGGAGAGATGGCTCAGTGGTCTAAAGCACCTACTTAGAACAAGCTTAGCAAAAGCATCAGGGACCGGTTGAATCCCCCAGCACCACATGCCAGCCAGCCCTGCCCCCTGGTGGGCTGAGCTGGCCTCTCTCTCTCTCACACACACACACACACACACACAAATAAAATTAAAAAAAAAGAACAATGTTAATAATAAGAGTACTATCAGTAAGAGAAATATCAGTAAGAATTGTATCAAAAAGTGAAGTATCAATAAGTAATAATAGTATCGATAAGTAAAATTCAAGAAACTTGAGCAACTACCACACAAAAATGTGTTAATCAGTGCTCAAGAAAATTCCAAACATTACTCAATTCAACATATAGATAATATTTAACTCATATTTTTAAATAATAAAGATTTATGATCTCCTATAACAAGGCAGAAAGCAAATTCAACTTTTAGATTGAACTACAAGGCAAAATGTGTTCATATCACTTTTCACTTTATAACTCTGAAATAACATGAAAATTGTAGATATACGCATTAATTGAGAAAACAATAAAGTTTTGAAATGAAATGGCAGGAAAATAAGGCTGTCAATGTAAAATTAGAAACACCAATTGCATTATAAATTGCAGCACATGTTATTGGTGAGAATATGATGATAATTAAGCTAAAGTCATGCATTTAATTCCCGGATGTACCAGTTTATTTGGCTTTTTTTCAGAGACACACACTGAATCACAATTCCCAGCTGTCTTGGGAGTGCGCATTATTGATCAAGAGGGGTACTGAGCCAATGGAGCAACAGATTATCTCAATTCCATTACAATGACAGGAAAAACAATTCTGAGCACATTTCCTGAAGAGAGTGGGTCAGCAGCTTGATTTTCATTTCAGTTCAGCACTGAGCATGTGTTGCTCATAGACAGATGCTTAATGATAGTTCTTTGTAATGTTAATAAACATGAAGAGAATATATATTTTAAAACTATATAGCAGCTTTCTAAAACAAGTCACTTTAAAGCTAGGAGGTTCAAAAAGAATATAATTAATTCACCTAAATATTAATTCCTGAATCTTGCAGGAACTTTAATCTGTGATAATAATTTTAATCTGTGATGGCAGTAATTCTTTATAACTACACTCACCAAAATTTTATGTATAGCTATGCTTATTTTATACATAGTACAGGAAAACCAATTTGCTTTCTGATATTGTGTATAGTCAATGTAAAGGAAAGTACATAAAGACAATGGAATGTTTATTCATAGTAGCCATATTCCTGTAGCCTGAACATTGTTTTTTTCCCTTTATTTCTGTTCTTATGATATCTGCAAAAAAATTTTTGAAAAAATCCTAAGAATCACTTATGATGGTAGCAATTAATATACTTCAAACACATTGTAGTACTTTCTCCAAACTACACAGTACCTTCTATTTCACTCTACACTTACTAAGTGGTTATTGCCTTAAGAGTAATATAAAGAAGAGTAGTATCAATAAGCGTAATATCAGTAAGAGCAATATCAATAAATAAGAGTTGTAACAAAAAGTAAGAGCAGTATCAATAAGTAATAGTACCATCAATAAATAGAAACCAAGAAACTTGAGCAGCTACCAAAGCAGGCACTCCTTTGCTGCGGGAAATCCTTCCCCTAACCGCTACAACCTTGGTGATCACCTATCAGATTACTTTCAGCTCAGATAATCTAGTCACACCAAATTAAGACTGAAGCGACAGGCATGTTGTGATGCTACATTCATAAAACTGTTATTATTAAGTGTTTATACAAAATAACTTTCAGCAGTTTCCTTATGTTAATGGAGACATCTAGGGTAAAATATTAGAAATACACCGAACAAATGTGGCTAACTCACAGTGGAGAAAACCATTTTCTCTTATTTCTGTTAAGTAAATTATAGACATTGTGGTTCAGTTTTGTAGTATTACTAACAGGTTATTATGTTTACCTATTTTAGATGAAATACAATCTTTCTATATGTGTAATTTAATTTTAAAAGAAACTTACAGGGTGATAAATATTGTCCTCATTTTAATGATTTCTATAAAACTTTGTTCAACAACACCATGCTAACAAATATAATGTATGCCTGTGATGACTTATGCATGCCAAAAACTTACCTTTCAGATTAACCACCTTGTTCTATTTTCTGTGATAGTACAGCATTCAACTGGATGTACCCGTTCTCCAGCTGGACTACACTTTGACTACCCATACTGAAGACTGAATCCTGGGCCTTGCCACTGAGCTCTATCAACAGCCTACGCCTCATTATTATTTCTTGAAACTGGACCTAAGTTGCAAGGCTGGGGCTCCAAACTTTAATCTTCTCCTGCTTTGGCCTCCCAGAGTGCAGGGGATCCAGGCATATACCATTATGTGCGTCCGGAACCACATTTTCATAGGCATTCTAATTGCTATGTACAAATATATAAATTCTAGACTAAATTATGTGTTCAAATTTCTATTATGTCTTCTTTCCTAATGGACTGAGAGCAAAAGCAAAGGTAAGTGCAAATCAGTCATTTTAAACCATGAGAGAAAAACCACTGTTGTGCAATGCCAGAAGGCGAGACATAAGAAAATGTAGTGCCTAGAAGAATTTTAGTGTATTAATCTTGTAAGAGGCAACATAAACATTTCTGTTTAGTTATTGTATTATTTTGTTTTATACTCAATAAGATGTAATTTTATGAAACGAGCCTTATGACAGACTATGACTAAAATAATGTCTGTATATTTCTTATTAGATAACAGAAAGCTAAATTAATGGTAAACTCAAATGGGACTTACATATCTTATGATGTTCAAGACCTACAAATACTGTAATATTTGAGAACACACAAAAGAATAAAATTTCAATCTCTCCATCCTAGATGATATAACGTAAAAATCTATTAACATGTGACATATGTTACAATTGTACTTTGTTTTTCACGTCAACATAGGTTTGTGTAATCAATGCACTTTTAGAGACAGGTCCTTCTTTCAGTGACAGTGATAACACTAGAAAAAAAGATCTATCAACTCAAGTACCAAGTGTCTGACATCAAAACTCATAAATACAATGAAACTAGCAGTCATAGTGGCAGAAAAGTGAAATATGCATTGTTTAAATGACCAATAAATTGCATAATGGAAATTCTATATAGTGAAAACCCATCCTCTTGCTTCCTTGGAAAATAGGAACTCATCAAGAAATAGAAGTAGTACACAGAATCTAAGAATAAAGAGGAAAGTATTGTAGATCAAGAGTTACTGCAATAGGAATGTCTTCAGAACAAAAGCACTATTAAAGGTCATCATAGGAAAATGCTTAGAATCTTTTTTGGCAGTAACATCTCAATCGATTTTTTTTCCCAGTGCTGAGATCAATCCTGGGACCTTATGTATGTGTAGTACAAGCAAGTGGACCACATCTTCAGCTACAATGACTTTTTCATAATTTATTTTAGGAGACGACCACATTTTACATAGAATTCACTGATTTTTAACTGTTGTAATTTTCTAGCAACCAGAAAATTTGCGTGTACATATGATATATGTGTAAGTTTTCAATTTAAAATCTTTTTTTCTTAAGTAATATGAGAAAACTTCTTAGATATTTAAATAACTTTGCTATATGGAAACTAAGAACTTCAATGACTTCAAAAGGGAAGTCAAGGGGCCGGGGAGATGGCTCAGTAGAATAAGCGCTTCCCCGGCAAGCACAAGGACCTGAGTTCAAGCCCCAGTTCTGCTAAAATAAATAAATAAATAAATAAATAAATAAATAAATAAAGTCACTACATTCAGCATTTCCTACATATGCAGTAGAATATTTACTAAGTAAACCAAAAACACAAGTTGTAAAAGAGTAAATTAAGTACAATGACACTAGGTTAATTTTATGACTTCAAATATATGAAAGTATACAATTTCAAGCACAAGTGTATAAAACAAAACATACTTGAGATACATTTAGTCAAATGGCATATATTACTAAAACAAAATAGCTACTATGCCTATGGGTACACATTTATCCATAGTCTAAACATAGCTTAAATATACCTCATGTACGTGTGCATTTTTTTTCTTTTATGGCACCTCTTAATTAGCGTTTTCTCTTTCTAAATAATCAAACCTGGGTACAGTACAGCGACAGTATAACTATGACTATTGCAAAGTAGATATTATTTTTACTTCATTTTTAAATTTTTACATTTTTTTTCTTTTGCGAACATTCGTCCTGAATCCATATGTGTAATAAAGAATTTCTCTTTGGATTACTTTATAGTTGTCAAAAATGGGACTTCCAGAAAAAAAAAAAGACAGTGTTTTACCCAGAAGCCACATGCTGGGCCTTGCCTGCCCTTTGGGTGCTCTGCCCTTGCTATCTACCTGACTGCAAACTCAGGTATCATGCAGATGTAGCACAGGCAAAGACAGTGGTGGGGGACAGTGATTCCCTCAACAGTTTCTGTTCTGAAGACTGTAGAAATGTGAGGGCTCCTTGGTGTCTGCCATTTTAAGGAAAAATCTTGTTTCACAACTATGGCATACAGTACAAATTCCTGCGATTTGGCTGATTACAGAATTTGGGAAAATGTCAATGCTACAGTAATGTCAGTACCCAATGTACTCTCTTGCTTTTTCTCTAAGACTAAAAGATGAATTTTATTTTTACTTGACATCTGTAGTGATCTCTTATATTTTCCATTGAACATATTTTATCCCACTTCTAATGAAACTAGTTTATAATATAGTTTTACTTAATACAATATAGAAATGGAACACAGTAAAAGGGCTGACATGTGCTATCTTACCAGGTGAAGATAAGGCATAGTAATGTAGCTATTAAAATCAAAACTTGATTAAACATTGCCGACTGTGTACGCTGAATGGCTCTGTGCAGATCATTCTAAAAGAATACAGAAAAGAGAATATTATAAATGTTGATAAATACTAAATATGCAAGAAGTTAATTACATTTATCACTTAATTACATTGCAGTAACATATATATGTTATAATATATATATATATGCAATCCTAACATCATAGACATTGCAGTAATATATACTTTAAGTTGATTTAGCACCATATTTTCATATTTTGGCCTAGATCTAAATGTAACTCACTGTAAGCTGAATGGACAAAATGAGAGTTTAATTGTATGACTATCAGCATTAAAAGAAATGCTGATTCCAGATACACTTTTTAGTTTTCCACTTGACAAATAATAACAAATAATAATATATAGTACTGTTTAAAGTTCAAGAAATGAACACTGACATACAAGGCCACACAGGTAATTACAAATTTCTGAGGGCCAGCCAAATAGCTCAGTGGATTAAAACACCTGCAAGCCTGTAATCCCAGCTCTCAGGAGGCTGTAGACAAGCAGATCACTATGAGCCCGATCTAGTAGTGAGACCCTGACACCCCATAGACCCATCCCTCAAATACAAAGAAAAAAAAAGAAAAACCAAAAAAATTCTGGAAGGCAATTTGGTAAGATATACCAAAGCTTACAAGTTTGGCTTTTCTATTCCATATGTTCATTCATTTATTCAATAAATATTTACTCAATAACATAATTTTCAAAGCTTAACATTAATGCTATTATCAGTGAAGACCAGTGTTTTCATGATAAAAGTATAATATTTAGCATTTTAAATAATGAATGTTTATGACTATTAAAACAATAAATACTATATGCATAATAAAATGGTTAAATAAATGGATCGATATTATGTGATAAGTTCTAACACATTCGTCAAAATCATTAGAAAAAAATAATAGCCTGCCCACTCACAGCTTGAAAATAAAATTTCAAATATAATAGTTAAAGTACAATAAAATATTATGTATGCAATGGAAGCATATTTTTACATAACAGAATAGAGATTATTATGCATATTTAGTCTACATTGTACATTTGTGGGTTTTTATAAGTTTTTTTCTTACAATTTTCTGTTCACCTGAAATTGTTTTCAAGATGCATTTTGAACAATTTTAATACATGTTAAATAACTTTCCTAAAGAAAAAATCTTAATAAGCTATTATTTTATTTTCCTGTGTCACAAATTCACTGAGAATGTTTATGAAAACAGCTAAGTTGATCGATCAGGATTTAATCTCCCATCTCTTAGTTTCTTCCGGCTATGAATAATGACCGGAAAACAAAAATTGAACACCTAGCAAAGGAGGAGCAGCAAAATATAGATATAAAATGGGCATAAGTTGCATGTAAAAACTGCAAACCAGTTACTTTCTCTAAGTGGTTGACTAATGGGTTGGGTGTTAAGTTATTTTTTCAAAACCTAATTGGATAGTAATTAACAAAGAGATTCGGTTGCTTCCTGGTATAAATATTTATTTGCTTTATTGGAAATCTGCATTTGGCCAAAAACAATGCTTCCCTGAACAGCTAAGACAGCCCAGAGTTTCGGCAGACTGCTGCACAGTCGGATCTTTCCTCAGTCACACGTGGTTTTGAACACTCAAAAGTTATTCACAAACGGCTTTCCTGGCCAAAACTTTTGTCCTAATATCTGTTTAAAGGCCATTTAAAGGTACAAAAAATTTGCTGTCAGAGAGGTGTAATTTGTAATTCAGTAAAATAAATAATACTGAGAATAATATTATATATATTATTATATATTATATATATATGAAGGAAATTTGTAGTGGATCTGCTTTATTTTCTTTTGCACATGATGTTGGCAGAGAAGTTAACTTGCATGTTAGAGGGTTTAGCACATAGTACATACCTCTATTAACATTTGTAAAATGAATTAACAGAAATAATGAATGTATTACAAATCATTTACAAGTTTTGAAGCCAAAGTAAATGCATTTAGCGTAGGTATAAACCAAGCCTTCCAAAAAGGGTCAGTATTGGTCAAAATGCAATTTTAGCACAGCTCTGAATTAGGTGACTCATTGTGCTTTCTAATATCCCACAGATACCCCACCTCAACACATCTAAAAGAATGGTTTTAAATAAAGGATTTTTAACTTTCATATGAAGGTCTACAAAATCCTAGATTTTTGTGGAACATGAAACTACATACAATTAAGAGCAATCTGACAAAATAACACACTTTAATCCTTAAAATAGAGTTTCATTATACATGAACAGATTGTCTTGAAGAGAAGGATATTTGTATTTAGAAGATAGGCCAACCCACCATCACACTAATCCAAAAACATTTATTTGTAAGTTTGATGAAATTAAAAAATCTGATTTTGGGCTGGCCAAATAGCTCAGCAGATTAAAGGGCCTGAAAGCAGTGCAGGGGCCAGGGACTGGGTCCCCAGGCCTGCCATGCCAGTCCCGCCCCCAGGGCACACTAAGATGGCAATTGAGACTGGGCATGGTGGCGTGCACCTGTAATTCCAGCTCTTGGGAGGCTGTGAACAGGCAGATCACTAGAAGGCTGACCTAGCAGTAAGACCCTGAATACCCTGTAGACCCTTCCCTAAAAAATACAAAAAAATAAAAAATAAAACCTGGTTTTAATTATAGGTCTCTACAGAGGTAGTAACTTTATAATGTGAAC